TTTTATTACAACGGTTGTATTCACATTACTATAATCGAAGTTTAATTTGCTGCAGTTTTAAAAGAATTGTAATTTTCTATTGAAAACTGGAGAATTTGTTTCATTTTACAGGATTAATTTAAAGCTGTATGCTTTTTATGCTCAAGTGTCTGAGATTTCCACTCGATGGATGTCAACGTATTTGATTTACTTCACTAGTATGCAGATCACTTTAAGTATTTTTACGAAATTGGTTGGAGAACCATTGTAAAACCTGGGAGTACTGGACAGCTGTTTCTTCCCAGTTTGGGACTCTTTAGTAGTACGCACCCACCGAGGTTCGAACCCAGGACCTTCCAGTTACAAGGTGAGCTCGTATACCATTAAGTCACTGGGAACCGATCCAGTGGCGCGTGAATTCTAACTTCTGCCAATTCACGACATAGCGTGACCGCCAGCCAATGTCTTCAGCAAGTATTTGTCCTCACACCCGACCTGCTGCACCCTACTGGTTATGAATTCTCACTAGAACCCCAGGTAACTACCTATCCTGAACAGAGCAAGTCGACTTGCACTTAAATTTTTATGAAAATTGAACCCTTAGACCACCTCTTCAAGACTGTAGTATCACTGTGGTGGTGTGATACAGAAAATGGGCTTCAACGGAGTATTATTCTCATATCATTGCATTTGTCGGTGTTAACTTCTGAATTCTACTCCCTCAGATCAGTGCTGCATAACCGTATATATTTAAACATTCTGTTTCATGTCATTTAATGTAAACCAAAATCACAAGCTCAGTGATTGGTTAAAGAATATAGACTGTATAAATATATGTAAAGGGTTGATCACTTGAAAATATACCTTGGCTTCCGTGTCTTACCTTCTGCTGTTACATTAATACTAAGAATTAGTAAATTAAGGATTATGCCTAACATTTCATAAAGTCTTTAATGGGTTTTTGCAAAACAAAATTTTCGTACACTTTACTCTTTAATAGTTTTATTAAAACAGTCAGACATATTAGAAAATGCAGTGTCACAGTTTGAATATCATTTACCGCATGGATATATGTCGGCCTCTTATTTAAGGACATTCTATGATGTATCTTCCAACTTTGAGAGTTAGAGTTTGTATAGAATTATTATCTAAACAACGTGAGTGACACATATGACTGTTTTGATCTATGCACTTGACCCTGCCTGTTCTGTAATTGACTATGTATTAACTAGGCCATTGGTAATCCTTAACAAAGGTCCACTAACGGCATGCATAGATTATCGCACTCTTGAATTCTACTTAATTATCAATGCATACAGTCGTAAGTTATAATAATACGCTTTTAAATGTTTTATACTTTCATGTCAAACTGAAATCTTGCTCGATACAATAAATCAACAGAGTTATGTATATGAAGCCCAAGAGCAAACGAAAAATTCAAACTCTCCTTCAACCTAATCTTATTATTAGTTATGTGTGCAACCATAGGTACATATCAGTAAAGTATTTCTTCTCGATCACTAAAAATATTCACAAAAGTCATTTTTGTATTCGAAAGACTTAGAGAGGAACAGTGTAAATCCTATGATTAGCTTACGTTTAATCTTCTGTTAAGTTACCTAGAATATTTATTTTCATAACATGAAATTCCATTATACTACTAATAGGCTTTTGAATTATAGTTCTGCCAGCAAAGGCTTCTCACAGTTATGCATTTTTCAAAATTTTTGCATAATGCGTTTATTTAAGTTGTTCGATTTATTTTTCAAGCACACTTACTCTGGGGATTGAAGTATTTAAAATAAAAGAAGGGATGGCTGGTAGCTGAGGGAATTTTAGTTCTTTTTCGGGTAAGAAGTCAATCGCTACGCATAATATTAAGTATATTAGGTATGCATGAAATTCTGCTTGTTGGTAATTCACAGATCACAATACATAACGTTTGTTTTTACTTTCATTCGTTTTTATTAGAGTTTTAGGTGTAAAACTCTCAGACTATCTTGCTGCAATCTAGCTTACTTCAGATATGATGTTATTCTCTTCAACATGCTCTTTAAGCTAATATTGAGCCTAAATAACCAGTTATGATCAATGAATAATAAACTTAAAGGATATGTAACACATGAACGTTAAAATTCAGTCAGACATATTAGTAAAACATTGAACCAGTTGTTTGAAATTAGTTAGGGTTATTGTTTTTATTATCAGAGTGTTTCCAAAATGTGATGAATAATCAACTTGTAACTAGGACGTGTGAAGACTTTTCTGGGTATCTTTTATATTACACAGCCCTTGTCAGTACTCAGAAGTCTTCACCCTTTCCACCTCCCCACCCCCTAGTTACACTTTCATTATTCATCACATTTCTGGACACTTTTATGACGTAATCAATAACCCGAAATGATTTTTCTTATTTTTGTTTGACAGTCCTAATGTAAATAGATTTGAAGTCTAGAAGATGCACACACATGGCACTTTAAGGGCATTGCACTATTGTCGTCCTTCTTGATATGATATTTGCGTTACCTAATCATTAAAAACTACGTCTAACTATTGATAACTAGTAAGTAGAAAATTGTGAGGTTTTCATTTCGTCAAAAACTGTATTTTTTGACCTTCAGGAATAAGCTTAAACAGGTTTAAACTAGATCACCGTTGCTTAAACGTGCAGGAATCGACCTTTATGAACATTTATTTTTGAAACGTTAGGCAAATAATTAGCCTGAAATTAAACATATTTACGTCACCACGTTATATTTACTAATCACCAGCATCATGTTTTAGTCCAATAATATAAAATGTGTCCTATTTATTTAAAAAAAATATAGCACCATAAAAACAGGAAATGAAGCTCAACATGATTAACTGTCTGAAATTTCACACTTTTCTACGTCATAGTTTATCATTATTACGGGGGTGGGGAGAATAAACATTCATCAGGATGCACGTATTTGTAAGCTGAATCTTTATATTCTGCTAGTGAAGGATGAAATATCGACTTAGACAATAATCTTCTGTAGCATTCCATAATAAACACCTAAATGATTGCCATTGTTACTTGTTTCAATCAGGTAAAATCCTGTTAAATAATGTTTATTATATGTTAATTTGGTGATCTGGCCCATTGGTTTAAGCAGTCGACTTAAAGCCGTTTGACACTAAGTTCGAATCCCACACCACTCATTTCAGCCTGAGCATCTGGATAGTATCACCATCCCTTATAATATATATATATATATATATATATATATATATATATATATATATATATACATGTGGCACACACTGGTATATACGACATTCATTCCAGATAACCGAGGTATATTGGTTTCCAACTATTTGGCGACAGGTTTTCTTTGCATCTGGAAAGAACAATCTTATAGAGGGGTCATATGGACTTATCATGCCTCTATGCCATCCGAATGTCAACTTCGTGTATGCGAAGAGAGGAGCAACGAAAGTAATGTCAATATTTATTTATTATTTGCTCAATTTGGTCATCATTAGAATAAAACTATCATAGAAATCTTTATATAAAATTATGATTGAATGGAGAGTATGCGGAAATGGAATTTGGAGGACTATGGTAATAAATATCGACTACTGTTATTGGTTTATTTTGATACCACTGAGTAGTAAAAGTGGATCAAAGAAAAAGTTTGCATCATTGATGGTCTTATTAAGAGTCGAATGAAACGTGACAATAAAGGCTGCAATTTAATCACTGCCCATGTTGCTTCTCATAGTGAGTATTGTATGAAAGCTAAGAAAATCTCTCTAAGAAAACACTTTCTAAAACTGATCACATGAAGTTATGTTTAGGTACTCTAGAATGTTCCAGACGGTCACAGATTCATTTTCTGTTGTTCGGTTTGTAAAGGTTAGTTTTGTTTATACGAGTTGATCACGGTTGATATCGGTACAGCTAAATATTTCCAAACTAGGATGAAACAGCTGTCCAGTACTCCCTGGTTTTCAATGGTTCTCTAACTGACATTGGTCACAGATCCGATAAGTTTCAGTCTATCTAGTCATCATGAATGTATTTTGTTTGATTCAGAAACTTTTAATCAATTTATCAGTGACAAATTAAAGACAGATAATCACTCCACATAGTTTAACGGTTTTTTATGCTCTCTTTTGAATATTTCATTGGGACTTTTAAAGTGACACTTTATAAGCATAACTATAAGTGGAGACAGAAAATGCTGTTAATCTAATAAATCGATCACACAAAATTTCATTTGGGAAAATTTACACAAAATACGTTTTAACACTTTCAAGATTGCCAATACATCCACCATCAGAAGTTGACTGTCATCGGTTCATTGTCTTCATAGTTCAACTGTCGTGTCTGCAAATTCAAATTTATTACATGAAAAGAATATTTATAATGAAAGGGTTCGTTTGAAAGCCTTAGAACACGTCGAATGTTTTTCCGAAAACTAAGTGGAACAGATCTTAAGTTAACCTCTGTTACCTATCAGGCGTATCTTAGATGTCTGCTTGTTATTCGTTGATTATCAGTTCGTCATGAAGTTCTGTTAGTACTATAACAGTCAGCAAATCAAAATTTTAATGTAGCTATTTAACCGTCGTGATATTTAATCATTTTCATTATTTCCAAAACGTCAAATGAATGAATATTATACGTCATCAGTAATGTTAAACTTATGACCAATCAGATTATGGCTAACAGCAATACTACTAGTAATACTAACAATAATAAGAACAAAGTCTATTCATAGATTTTTTATCTGTTACGAGCTACATAAAAACAAATACTAACACTGTGCAGAGTAAAGTTCATTTAAATTCACACTTAATCATACATATCTACATAATTAACATAGATTAATTTGATATTTCTTTAGGATTCTCACATTTGGTTGATATCAGCCCATTGTTGTACAATTGCATTATAGAAATAATTATTATTCTTTGATGCAATTTGTTTAGTCTGTGAAACTTTGAAAAAAGCAATAAAATAACTGCTATTATTATAAATTTCTAATTTCATTATGAAACAAAATATTGAAGACACAGAAGACATGCCTTCTGAAGAAATGGAACTTCGTCAGCGTAATGATAAAACAAACCACGATAAAGATATAAAATGTGCATTCTCATCATCACCGATGGTGCCGATGATGACAACGTCAACGCTTTCGATGATGAAATTCACTCCAAATATAAGTGAACAACACACTCCATTACAAGTAAACACACAGACTTCAGATAACGATAAACAGAAATTAATACATGATGTTGTATGGTCTGATTTAGCTGAACAATTTCGATTAAATTTGATTACTCAACTTGATGATCATTTGAAAGTATCACTCAGTGACTTAGTGAGTACAGCTATTTCAAGGGAGAATAATTTACAAAGCACACAAAACCTTAATGACTGGATGACAGACAAGTAAGTTGTAAACTATTTTTTTTTACTGTCGATAGTATTTTGAAAAGATCCAGCGCGAATACCACTATTTTCTATTGATGGCACTGTTTAAAGTGATTTTATGTTATTAAACTGTAGTCAAGACCTGGTAAGAAATTAAAGCATGCTTGGTATTAGGCAGTTGGAGGCAATCAGCAGGAAGACTTGGACTCAGGTTTCGTGCTAGTTGGCACTCGTCAACAAGGCTTATCTGTAACCTTGAAGGAACTCATGTCCTGCTGAGACTGGAACCCGTGTAACTCGGTTCTGCAGTCACAGACGTTACCATCGACCTATTCGGGCTCACGACTGACCTCCTGCAAACTTGACTGATAGTATTCAGTCTGCACTAGTTTCTGACTAGTGTCCCGCCCAAAATATTAAAGCATGCTTATCGGTATTCAGGCCAAGAATGATACATCAACAAAACTCTGTCAGCTCTCAGATTTTCTTGTATTTACAATCATCATTTACAGACCATGAAATTTGACCGCTCCAACATTAAACATTATTACTGTCTTCCCACAACATCTCAGTAAGAATAATTTTTTCCGATAAAGTAGAGCAGTTAATATGCAGACCTTAATAGCAGTTGAGCATTCATGCATTTATAGTGAAAAAAATATTTATTATCTATACCACCTTTTACTGTTTATTGAATGAAAATATCTCATAAAAAAGTAAACATCATTTTTAGGAGGTATCACACTTATTACGCAGAATATTTACTGTACGTCAGACAAAGTTCCATCCATTGTTAATTTCTCGTTAATCTTTAATATGAATGACATCATAAGAATCTAAAAGTTAACTGTTTATCAGCTTGCATAAATTCATTTGTGCAATATGACTATAAATCCAATCAATGAAAAACATCAGTGGATTGTGAAATTGAATAGTAAGTGGTAATCACAGGCGTGCAGTGTGACATAAAATTATAATTGTCGACGGTGGTCAGCAAAACATTTTTGTGGTGTCTCTGTTCTAAGTAATTTCAGGTATTTGAATTCACTTTTTTAACCATCGCAGTCAGAAATATTTTGTAAAGAATCTGCATTGACTGCTAACCACATTTTTTTGTTTATGCGAAAGCAATGAAAAGAAGCCTTGAAACTAGACAAAAGATCAGTCATGAAACCATTTGAACTAAGAAAGCTTTCAATGATCTTATACTATTTTGAAGTCGGTATCATTGACTCGGTATCAGATTAGTTTCTTACAAATTATCCCACTTAATTGGATACTTCTGCCACGAGACATCTGCATTAGGATCTTTAATCATTGTAATATGCATTTACCAACGCAACCAGCAAACCCAGAAGTGGGACAGCGTTCCAACTCTGACCAACCCTACTTTCAATACTAATTTTACAAATCATCTGCTTTAACCTGTTGGTTTGTAAACTGATATCCCAGTTTCTCCAAGCAGGTGTTTGGAGGGTAAATCTATCTGTATCTTTAGATGTAATGCATGTAGTTCATTTTGACTAACAGGGACTGTATCTGACATCAGCCACACAGGTTGAATGAGGGCTGTTCAAACCAAGACAGGTACGGCCGAGTTCGAAAGCTCTAACTAGCGGTCGAAAGTTGAGTGCCTTAACGAAATTGCAACACCTGCTTTCGGTGCATTCAACTGGCACTTAATAAATAATGAACTCAGAATTAATATATTTATTCTCGAGTAATATGCCATGTTTTATGCTTATGTCAGTGAAGACAGAATTTAACTGTTATTATATTCTATCCACTACTTTCTTTTCATACATCTAGTGAATAAGTGTATAAATTAGTGAGTATCAGCTTGTTATAAATTAGTGGGAGATTTTAAAATATGCACTCCCTTTGAAGTAATTTGGTGGATGGTGACTAGCGGTGGAAGCCAGGGCGCGCATTTCGTCCTATTTTAGACTCGTCATTTGTATGTGTCTGCATTCCACAGTGAATGATTTTGTCCGCATCGCTTCCACTTTAAGGTAATCTGATATGGTCAACTTTCTTTGGGACAGAATAAACTGTAGGCTTTGAAACTTACTTCCCTATACACTAGTTCAAAATCTTCAAAGAATACTCATCTTCAACAGATGTCTCAATCAATATTTTATTGTCGTTATCGATATCATTAGCTGTGCAGATACGCTGAATACTCTTCAATAAGGGCTTCACTAAGCCTCTATTTTATATTGTTATGGTCAGAAGCTATGGAAACTTAAATACCGCTCTGTCCAAATAGGTTTTGTATAAGTCGAACGGTTTATTGAGCCATTCTGTCTCTGACTCAAAAGTATCAGTAGGAATACAAGGTGGCTGCAACTTTCTTCTTCAAATGTATGACTCATATGATGTTGTATAGAGCTAAGTCTGTCTATCCACCAGATGAGTTGTAACATCCTAATTATTGCACATCACAATAATATTATCAAGGTACACCCTAACAATCAAATCACCAAAGAGATTTTCAACATAAGACATATAAACATCAGGCAACAGCGGTCAAAATGAAATGCCGATGGCAAAGCCATCCACTTGTCGGAAGTGCTTACCTTCGAATATGAAAAGGGTGTTGTAGGTACATAATAAATCTTTTAAATATGTTAGAGAGAAAATTTCAATTGAGAAATTTTCACTTACTTCTGTATGATAAACACTGGTGTCGATTAGTTTCTTGCTGAAGACTTTCATTTAGTAACGTTTACATTTTTATCTATGATGCATGTGTATTACTTATCTGCAGAATGTAATCTGTTACTTATGTTGTCTGGCATTTTTTGATTTGGCATAACTTCTGTCACCACTTTTCTTTATATGTCAACTGTGACACTTAGTTGGAGTGATATTATACTGGTTTTTAGACACACTATGTGAAAAACCTGATAAGATCACGTTATCATATAGTCTGTTTGATTATAACAACCTCTTTGATAATCTATTATCAAAGAGGTCGTTATACTTGGCTTAGTTATCAGTAAGAATATTATCATCATTCAACCTATTGTGTATTATTAGCCACTGTGATTGAACAAAGCTTGAAAATGAAAATATGATGAAAGTAATTCTTTCGTTTTTCTATATTTGTATAATACAGCAGCACTTTCAGAGAAACCAAGCTACTAAGATTCTACACTGCAAAAAAAATTACCAAGACCAATAATTATTTCTTACATATTATCTCAAATACTCTGATTTTCCAAGGAAGTAATCGGTATCAAGACAAATCCAACTGCCACCTATAAAACTTCTCCTAAACCTATTTTTCCTACTTTCAACTCTTAGGTTGATAAGTACAGTTTTTCATTAGTCGGCTAAACTCAACCAAAACCTTAGGATATAGTATATTTAATAATGAGGTATAAGCATACGCTAGTGAAAATTTTATTGAGAACAATTAAACTATTACAAGTGATACCTGCCTACGCATAACATTCTTGGTATGTATCGTTTCTTCCTAAATTAGGACCATCATTTCAGAGACATTACATTTTGTGAAATACACCGTACGTTTTATACATATTCTGAATGTCTGTGTCATACACTTGTGTGGGAATGTTAGTGATTTTGTGATCATCAATACTCATTTAATAATGACTACTAGAAATGTTAGAGATCAGCATCACTTTCTACATACTCAAAGAGAATAAGGTCATCAGAACGTAGTGAACAACTAATCACTAACCTAACTGAATACTTATTGCTTTTAACTCTGGCTGATTGTGAAATTTACCGTATGATCCAACGACTCTGAATCAACCTATTGTTTTAATAGTAATCTGGTTTCAATCAGCATTTGATCTTGAGATAGATTCCTTGAATTTCTGTTGGCAAGCGGATGACACTAGCGTTTTCTTTTCGCTTTCGATGAATGCTTAACTATTTTTTTTTATTACAGCTTGATTCCACACCGTAGTTTTTTGGTGCATGTGTAGAATTTTCAGCATGTGATATCGGTAGCCTAAATTTTGCAGGCCGACCATAGATTTCAGGTGTGCGTCGGCAGGGGACCGAACCCCTGACCATTTGCATGGTCGGCAAGAGTCTCAACCACTGTGCCACCGACGCACATATGGTGAGCTGAAAATATGGAACATCAGATATTAAAGTAAATGCTGATACTTTTTTATCATACCAGATAATCATGAGCTCCCCTGTGGATTCGAAGTGTAGGCACTTTAAGAAAAGGAGAAGAAAGTGTTGAGTGCCTTTTAATTTTAAACACTTTTCTAGCTATTTTCAAGCACTAACTTAAGTCAGAGTAATCTTCTACCATAGTACTCACTTGACGGTCGTGAACAGGCTCAGACCCACTCATACTAAACTGAACTAACGAACGGTCATTCTACTATCCTATATAAAACTTCCTAGGCATGACGTAGTACTTTTATGTACTTACATCCAAGCTATACAGTAGTTAAATTAGTGCTAAAATTGTTATTGCATTTCAGTATACTTGAAATACTGGTTTGTAAACTGAGGTAAATTTAATTTATCATAAACTATTGGTTGTTCGTTTCACACTCCCTGTAGTTTCACACATCCTAATAAAAAAAGGTTGAGGTAAATAGTCGTTAACACGTTTGTCGCACATCGATAAGCCAAATGAATTAAGAATAAATTTTAGCGCCTTCTGAAAATCTGTTTGATCACTTGATTTCAGTTTCCTATTAAAATAACGACCCACAAGTGCTTCTATATAGTTTAAAGACTTTTCACTGCATCAAAAGCATTTCGAACAGGCTTCAAACATTTATCAAGAGCTATCTTCCCTCCTACTGAAGATCAGGTGGCCAGTAAAGATTGGCGACAAGTAACTCTGAGAATAGGATCAACTGACAACTGACTGTCCAACAAATAATGAGTGGGACCCAAACGGGAAACAACCATTTGGGTGTGTGAGGGAGCTATGGAGGAGATCATGTAAGGAGGAAATGAAATACTATGGACAATTCGAAGCCAGCTAAAGAAGGCCCGAAGAGCTTAGTGGTGAC